ACCAGGATCAATGCTGGAGTCAGATAGGCATAGTGTCTGGTCCACTTACCAGGATCAATGCTGGAGTCAGATAGGCATAGTGTCTGGTTCACTCACCTGGATCATTTCCGGTGTTAACTGTGATGCTTGGGTCATTAACTGTTGTTCTTTTTCTTCTATATCAGGTTCAGCTTTTGTTCTTAGATAATTTGGTACAACTTCATGATTAAACGCAGGTACTCTTCCCTCAGTCAATTTCTACAAATATACAATTAGTACAGCTTAATATCAACAAAATCTATTTATTATCAACAAGTGGTGCTATCTACAAACACTTTTATATTTACATTCCATACATGTATTAGCATTTCTTACCTCCAGATCTTCATCTCTTTCAGGAGCTAATACTAACGGCAATAATATGAAATTTCTCAATGGTGGGGTCTTTTCACTTTTAAGAACTTTATTCAGTGTATTAATCTGACCTGCAATGCAGACAACTGTTATTAGGATAACACGTCCTCCACTGAATTTAGCAACAAAATGTATTGTTGCCTTCACAAACCAGTGAATTTAAAACCTAGTGGATGTTCATATTTAACAGTAGAATGCCAAAATTCAACACAGTGAATGTTTCTACTTCTATAAAATTATACCATGAAAAGCACAATGTACACCACTTAATAGACTGTACAAAGACAAGAGAAAAATTTGACTATATAATGCAGTCAAGAGAAAAGACAATTTTATATGCTCTAAGTAAGCTTTGATATCATGAATGGCGTTAAATGCACTTTAGAATTCATTAGGTTTATAAATAATTTAAAACATACATGATGTATTTAATATCATTTGACGTCATGGTTAAACCTATTTTGTTATACTGCTCTGAAGTATGATCTGGTGATATCATTAGGCAACAACAAAACTTTATTAACCAATTGAAAAATCCCATACAAAACACTGTAAATTCCTTCTTTAAGGTAAATAGTAGAGCAACAAACCTAGCTTGTTTATTTGTTTGTTTGTTAGAACTAGGGAGGCTTCGCCTTATTTTGTCAGGCATCAAACAAATGATCAAATATTGACTTTAATATTTTTAATATTCGAAAAATTGTAAAAAAAATATTACATTGTTAAATGATAACAAGGGAGCAAATCACAAAAATAAACTACATAAATATATTTAAATCAGATTTCTCATTGAAAAATACTTAGACATAATTAAAAATACACATCACAAATATTGTTTAACAATTAAAAATTAGTACACATATATTGTTTCTTTACTTTAATATCCCAAAGTGGAATTTGTAAAATTTTGTCCTCTATCAACACATGAACATTTTTAGTTGTGAAAAAAATGATACAGTACTCACTTGAGATAATTGCAAAACTGTCAAGAACAGAAGGCCTGTAATAAAAATAGATTTACTGTCTAATAATGCTACAAGGCCAGAAATGACATTGTTGTAAAATTATACTCTAAATTTGATCTGCCATTCAATATACACTTTCAATGCATTTACATTCATTTAACAATGATGAGATATGTGTATAATGTCAGAGACAGGATAATGCATGACATATGACCTTGAACAAATGAAAACAAATAATTATAGGTTGACAATAAGGAATTCCGGAGTGGCGAGTGGTGGTAGAAAAACATGTTGTCATAAATTTGTGTTCGTTTGCACACACACCCTTAATATAACCCCCACCCCAAATTCAATTGTAAATGCCCTTTCAGCTAACTATAGATGTCCTTAGGAGTGGCATATACAATTAAATTGGGGAGCACTGGAGGGTAGGGTTAGGGTTAGGGGTGGGGGTGCAAAAAGAACCCTAGGATGGCAGGTTGTTTTCAATATAGCAGTGTATCAGTCTATTCCCCACCATTACAGTTATGTATAGCTGGTTGCTATGGCTTGACTGGACAGTATAAAGTCTTGTGTTGATGTTTTACCTTGATTTAAAATTGATCCCTTTGGATTGATTGACTTACCAGTCTAAAGTTTCGTGTTCATGTTCAAGCTTCATTATAAATTGTGTGATTGAATTCTTTAAATCTTGTACTCTGCTTATCATTGCCTCTAGACTGAGCTCTAAAGCTTTTTCTTGATTCTGAAATGGCAATGGGTAAATCAAAAATCATGTAGACTGGATTCAAAGGCATTTTCACATTAAGCTAGAAGCCTAGTCATAATTTTTGACAAAATTGGTCATAAATCGCATTACAATGTTCATTAGTTTATTATGTACAATCATAAAGCTAATGTCTCATGGTACAATGAAATAACATTATTTTGTGTTTTACAGTTATGCTTTTTGAGAAACGTGTCCTAATATTTTTTGAAAATTGCTATTTTCAGAACAATTCTATAGAACACAATGTTAAAGAAAAATTGTATTTTTTGACACTTTTTAAAACCCAGACTTTTTAAATAATTCAGAACAACAAAAAATACTCCAACATTAACATAATATGATTTTTTCAGCCTATGTCACAAGGCTAGATTTTGAGATATTACATAATATCTCAGCCATAGGAACTTGAGGCAAAAGTGTTATAAAAGTGTCAAAATGGCGACTTTCCACTCAAATACAACCATCAATTTCTTGAAAAAAGAGCTAGTGACCCCAACTTTTTTCAGGTCAATATCCTTATATTGCCTTGGAGTACAATTTATTGCAAAATGAATAAATTCTGGGTTTTTTTAATTCATGAATAGGCTTCTACCTTAAAAGGCATTGTCCCAAAACGAGTGATTTTTTTTTTTACATGCACAACATAGCAACTTTCTCATAACAAATCATTCATGCCTGGAAAATATTGTTTGAGCGTCATCAGAAAGTCACTAGTTACATATATCGCGACCACCTAGTGCTGATAACCGTAAAAAAACACATTTAATTTCACTTAAATCTTCTCACCTGCATTTCGTCAGTTTTTTTATATCAACTTCCTGAGTCGCTTGACCCAACAGGTCACCGAGCATGCGCAAAACAATTAAACTTGGTGGCGCTTTAGCTAAGAACTAGGTTCGATCGTGGCAAAGAAAACTAGATCAAAAATATCACGCAATAGTTGAGTTTTCAGTATGATATTTCGCTAGACAGAAAAATAGTGGACAATGTCTGCGGAGGTTAAAGAAGAGGACAGCGAGGTATTATATTAAGTTTGATCACTGTTATTTTAGTTTCCACGAAAATGCATTGTGGGATGTGTGTTGAGTGACTGCTGTTTATTTATGACGCAATTTCAAGTTGACGAGTCTATTTCAGTCAAGCTTGTCAACAAACATACGTGTATGATTTTTCTACAGTTCGTTATTTCATTGTTAACGTCGATTCAATTGACAGACTGGCCAGCGAGAGTTTGGTAACAGTAACACCATGAATAGTAGTACGTACAACTTGATTTTGCCCTCTTTCGGCAAACTAAATCAAAATAAACACATACACTGCGACAATACCATACACAGTTCCCTGGATACTATTTTTTAATCGATTCAACAGTTGATTAAAATGTTGAACCTACTGACCTTGATTTTCTTTTTTTTATTTGTTATGTAATTATTTTATTATTATATACCCTATATATAAAATATGTTTTGGAAATGCATTTCTCACTTCATTGGCTTTTATCTTTGAGTTTTTGTTGCTAAAGTGAGTTACATCCTAAATTTTGGTATCCTTGGTGTCTCTAATTAATAACCCATTAACCATGCATTTAATTAATGATATTATCAAAAAATCATAGAAAATTTGGCAAAAATCGGTCATTTCAGCCTCAACGTTTTTTGCTCCGAAACGCAAGGGCAATAAGACTCGATTTTCAAAAATGCAGGTCATTTGCATCAGATGTATTTGTGTTGAGTTCATTGTGTGTCTAGAAACATAGCAACGTTGTTTTTAGTGAATACAGAACATGTTCTGTTCCAATAAAGGATTTTTGCATGTCAGTTCCTTATTGGAATATCTCCCATACAAGTAATCCTTGACTCTCCAAAATTTGACAATGGTACTAGCCAAGAATGGACTTCATGTTCAACGCGTCTTTGATTGTAGCAATGTTCACTTAACTGTATGTAAAGATACACTCTTACAAACTCAACATCTGCATGAGCATTTGAGAATAGTGATAATAGAAGCAAATGAAAACAGGTGGTCAGACATCACTCTGGCTAGGATACCTGTATTTAGTGTTCATTTAACTGTAATGTTTCAATACTGGATATACCTGTCAGCTGTTTCATGTTAATTGTTTGTTGTAATAATCTGTTTTAAAAGCAAAATCTGTTTTTAATTCATAGATCTAATATGGATTTCTTAAATAGGCAAGGCTTAGATAGTTTTTCTATGTTTAACATGTGTTTTGCCGTTCTTCACATAAATGCTTAACCTGAGTGGTACAGGTGTATATCATGATTCCTTCTATTACATTCATGAAATCAGCACAGCAATGAGAAATAACTTTAATGTCAAAATGTTAAATAAGTAGTATGTTTTATTCCAGGTTTTAGATGCTGGAGAGGTTTATCTGTTGATGAAAAAAGAATACAGGTTATCTAGGAATATCCGAGCTTCTTGGTTTTTTGGTCACCTAAACAATATAATAAAGGTGACATCTGAAGAGAAGCTGGTAAGAATCAATGTGAATGTTTGTTGGCAAACCACACAACCCATATTTTGTCTCCCTTTCTCAAAAAACGGGAAACACATGCTGTGCTTGTAAAATGCAAAAATGTTTGGTCTATGATCATTTAATATCCGGTATCTGGACAAAACACCTCCTGGCTTGCCTAAGACAAGTGACAAGTAGGACAAAACTTCCCGACTTGCCTAAGACAAGTGACAAGTAGGACAAGACGCCCCCAGGCTTGTCTAAGACAAGTGACAAGTAAAACAAAATGTCCCAGACTTGCCTAAGACAGTGACAAGTAGGACTACCCGTCATAGGTTTTATTAAATTTATAGTATCACAAATTAGATGTGCCAACCTATAAGTCGCTCTCTATCTCACATAAAATCAGCTTTGTTAAACTGGCTCACAGAAGCTGATTATTGTTGTGTTAAAACATAGTCCCACTGTCACCAGTGTGAAAATGGCTGCTTAAGGTTTGCCCTGTATTCCTGTTTGAAATCAAATCTTCTTGACAATCCTCAACTTTAACGTAAAGTGAACTTTTAAAAAGATGACCTCTCCCATAACATGAACTCATAGGGTGACCTCATAAAGTGACCTCAAAAAGTGACCTTCCATAAAATGGCTTCTCCAGTAAAATGGCCTCTCTAGTAAAGTGACCACTTCCACAAAGAGACCTCATAAAGTGTCCTCCAATAAAGTGACTTCTTCCATAATGTAACCTTTCCCATAAAGTGACCTCCAAAATAGTGGCCTCAAAAAGTGACCTCTCCAATTAAAGATGCTGTACACGTTTTTGACTCCATGCGAAGTACATAATGGGAGTCTTTGCAGTTAGGGTGTCTGTATGTGTGTACTTGCATTGCTATATGTTCCGAGGACAAAAATACAGATATATAGCAACTTCCGAGGACATACACATAATTTATATTAATAGTTAATTC